ATTTGTAAAGTATTTCAGAATATATTTTAAAAATTTCAAATTATTCTATAATGCTATTCTATTATTATTATATAATAATCTAACTTTTTTTTAAATAAAACATATTTTAGGATAATAAAAATATAAACAAATATATATTTTGAATTATTTTATTTATAAATAAAATTAAAGTTATTCTATGTATCAAAATTCCCTTAAATGTACTAATTTTATATGGCAGACCATAAATGAGCAAAAAAAAAAGATATCTCATAGATTTGGCTCAAGACATATCCGGAATCAGAGAAACTTTTACTTGAGTAAGTAGTCCCATAGCAACCACCCTAGAAACCAACTAGCATCGTCACAGCAACTCTAACAACCATAAAGCAACACCCTGGCAACCTTGTGATGTTGACTTTCGCATTGACAGAACACTCACTTTTTCTAACCAAAAATCTAGTTCATAACCCACTTTTACTTTTGAGAATGTCCTCAATAGAACATTTTGTCAGCTTTAGACAACTTCTAAAAACATTTTTTAAATCTGTCCGCAAAGAACAGCAGAAAAACACTGTATCTGAATCATGAAGATATTAATAAACCAACCAAAATGTCTTTATAGAGTATAACTGTATAAATCTCTATACCATACTGGTCATTTTCCTTTATTACTCTATAGCAGGGGTGGCGAACTCCGGTCCTGGAGAGCCGCAGCCCTGCAGAGTTCAGCTCCAACCCTAATTAAAACGCACCTGCCTGTAGCTTCCTAATAACCCTTCAGACCTTGATTAGCTTGTTCAGGTGTGTTTGATTAGGGTTGAAGCAAAACTCTGCAGGGCTGCGGCTCCCCAGGACCGACGTTCGCCACCCCTACTCTATAGGGACTTGTAATAATAAATCTAAGTGTGTATGTCACTGAAATGGCCCTCTCCCATTTACAGCCATTACAATTCAAAGATGATCAGCAGATACTGCAGATAATGGACCCAGTGGCAGCAGAATGATGTCAGCGATTACACACACTTTTCCCCCTCTCACATCACCTGCATAAATTACTCACACATGCTTCCACAGTACAGGGTGGAGACATATCAAGCATCTGAACCTTCAAAGGAACCTCCAGCTTCAGCTTGCCTGAATGACCATTTGAGTTTTAAATCTGCACACAAACTGCTCGAAAAGACTAATTACCCTTGCCACTGTATAACTGCATCCCTCTTATTCTCCATCTATAGCCAAGAATGACTGGCTGAACCCCAGGACTGAGACAGAAAAGGGGGAGTTTGTCATTTCAGGAGCGCCTGTCTGGCTCTCAGAGTTAGGACAGTCATGAAGACAAACGAGGACAGAGAGAAAAAGCAAAGAAAGAGGGCAGGAAAAACAGGTTAGAACACCCAGGCCTGATGCAATATTAAACATTGTGTTCGATTTTCTTGTATTTGGCTGAGTGTTGGCTTGTATTTCCTCATCCCACAACTGTCATCTGGGTGTCAAATGGGTGACTGAGAAAGCGCAACACAAATAGTAAGAGACAGACAAAATGAAAGAGAAAAGGAGATGATGCTTACTAGGGCTGGGCGATATAGCTAAAAAATGTATCAACGATATAATGTTTCATATCGTTCGGTATCGATAATTATTGACATTTTTTATAACCTTTTTTAAAACAAAGAGCAATAGAAAAAAACGTTTAAATTTAACCACTGTATTTTTAAATTAACCCAATTTATTGAGACAAACAACAAATATTTTTTGTTTTAACAGTCAAACACAAAATAAAAATTAAACAAATATCTCATTTCTAATGTTTTATATGCAGATTAAATAGGTCTGAAGGAAACTTTTGGCTTGTCTCCCGAAGCCACAGGAGGGCGCAATGAGCAAAATAATGCAGCGCATTAAATTGCCAACGCAAATGAAATAACGGTCTATAAAAATGCATTATGTCTAAATTAACTCATATAAATCAAACATAATTTCGTAAATTGCATAAACAATGCAAAAAAACAGCATCACGTATTTATGCATTGCTTAATACAAAGAGCCGAATCACCGATCGCACAGATTGC